AGAAGAAAACATTCTTTGATGGTTATGAGGGTGGAGAGGGAGGGAGAGGGGCATTCACTAACTAGATAGTAGATAAGAATTATCTTAGGTGAAGGGAAGGACAATACACACTACAGGGGAAGTCAGTACAACTGGACTAAACCAAAAGCTAAGAAGTTTCCTAAATACAACCAAACACTTCGAGGGACAGAGTAGCAGATCTGGGGACCACGGTTTCAGGGGACATCTAGGTCAACTGGCATAACAACGTTTATTAAGAAAATGTTCTGCATCCTACTTTAGTGGGTGATGTCTGGTCTTAAAAGCTAGCAAGTGGCCATCTAAGATGCATCAATTGGTCCCAACCCACCCAGAGCAAAGGAGAATAAAGAACACCAAAGACACAAGGAAAATATTAGCCCAAAAGACAGAAAGGTCCACATAAACCAGAGACCCCCGTCAGCCTGAGACCAGAAGAACTAGGTGGTGCTTGGCTACCACCAATGACTGCCCTGACAGGGAATACAACAGAGAGTCCCTGATGGACCAGGAGAAAAGAGGGGTGCAGAAGTCAAATTCTAGTAAAAAGACCAGACTTAATGGTCTGACTGAGACTGGAGGGACCCTGGAAGACATGGCCCCCAAACTCTCTGTTAGCCCAGAACTGAAACCATTCCCGAAGCCAACTCTTCAGACATAGACTAGACTGAACTATAAGATGTAAAATGATACTCGTGAAAAGAGTGCTTCTTAGCTCAAGTAGATACATGAGACTAAATGGGCAGCTCCTGTCTGGAGGCGAGATGAGAAGGCAGAGAGGGACAGGAGCTGGTTGAACGGACAAGGGAAATCCGGGGTGGAAAGGAGAAGTGTGCTGTCATATTATAGGGGGAGCAACTAGGGTCAGGTAACAATATGTGTGTAAATTTTTGTATGAGAAACTAACTTAAACTATAAACTTTCACTTAAAGCACAATAAAAAAAAGTCTTTGATTCAACAAAAATATTGGACTGCAGATATTTCTTCCCTTTTTTTTGAGTCTCTGAAGATAAGTTCTCTAGATCTTCTAGAAGGGGAAGGCAGCCACAGGGTTGTTTTGTTTAGGTTTGGTAGAGTAGACGTAATAGAGTTCAGTTTTGAGTAACAGAGTTCCATTTCTGTCTTCGTGAACAACATTTAATTTTTGCAGTGATATATGTGACTAGTTAAGGTTGTTCAAGGGACAACATCTAAAGGGCCGTTTTTCACTACGATACACACTTTCCTTGGGAGACTGAGAATTCAGCTTATCTAAACACAGTTCTGGCGCATTTGCCATATCACGCAATTTCAAATTTATATAAAATGAAAACCACATGCATCAGCAGCTGTTAGACACTCATCATATAAGTAGACAGAACCTCATCCTAATAGGTCAGAAAGCACACTATAGTGGCCACTCCCACTCATATCTTCAAATATTTTGTGTCCATAAAACAGCATTGCCCAAGAACTTGACTGCCCTTTAGAATGTCTTTTTTTTTAAGGACTTGAGAAACAGAAAATTTTCTCACTTTTCAAAATGCACCACATTTCATCTTATTTAATCTTGTAAGTTTGGGCTGATGTAGGAGTTTGAAAGTAACGTTAACTCCTGCCCAGGTTTTCTAGCAATCTTTCTGTTTAGTAGTATGGGCAATGGAAAAAATACAGTTACAGACCTCTTTGAGTTAATTTTTTTCTGCATGAATGAGACTCCCCACATTCCATATGGACTTACCACATAAGTCTGTTTTTTCTGTGTTCCCCAAAAGGCCTGCTAAATGAGCCTTAATTTTTTTCTTAGAAGCTAATATTAATTGTTCTGGAAAATGTAAATTAAACACTTAAATAAAAGTGTATTTGCTAAATTTAAGACAAAAGGGTTGCGACACATCGGGTAACATAATCGTGTTCGATTAACTAGTTTCTACTTTTTATCTTTTCCACAATTTATTTGGATTATTTTGTAAGCAGTTTTGAAATTTAGGGTTTTTCTAGTTGACTAAAAATTTGTAGTATGCATATGCTTGAAATCCGCTGAAATAACGTTGTCAAACCAGCCTTCCTACCCAGATGAGTCATTTGCTTGCCTCATTTCTCCTTAAGACCTGTGAGGGGTTTCGAATCTGTCCCTGTTCTAGCAGATGGAGTACTCACTTGAGTCCATCCCCATAGCAACCTCAGCTTCACGGGGCAACCAGTACTCTACTGATTTTCAAAGAGCGCGTGAGACCATTGGAGACTGCAAAACCCTTTCTTCCACCAACTGGGTTCCCTGCTGATGTTATTTGGGATAACGTCTAGTTTGACCTGTTATCTCAGACAGGACTGCTATCTTGTATGTCATTTAAGATAATAATCAACCTAAAAATAAAATTCTTTTAGTCAAACACATTTTTTTCTAGATGTTCTCTCTCCCCAGGTGATACTCTCTCAAATATTTGATTTGCATCTTGTAAGTTTATCTTTTTTGAACTCATAGATAAATCTATACTGTAAACCTAGGAAGATTCAAGTTATGTGGCTCCTTTGATTAGACCCTTGATAAAATCAGGGGCCAGGACAGCAATTTTGTGATGATTTAGCAGCTATTTTATGGAAGTTTGCATAAATTAAGTTCAATATTGAGTACAGGGTAAGGGCTGTGGGGCAAAACTGGAAAATTCCAGCATTTTGCGGGTGGCATGCCCCTGGCCAGATACTTTGCAATGATTTCTTGGTGATGGTTTTGAGAATCCATCAGTTGTCTTGATAGCTGCAAATAAATTGTGTTAAAGTTATAGTTCGAATTGTGCACTACAAAAAAAAAAAAAAAGCTCTGATTATTCAAATGTAATCAGTTTAATGAGTTTTTAGAGCTTGTTCTTGTTTTGGGTGTAGTGACAAGTACCAGCGTTGAGTTTGTTGTTTAAAAGGTACACTGGTGGGAATCATTTGAGTAAATCAAAGCCCTTGACCTGTGTTAGCAAAAAAGGTGTAGTGGCTATGACTGAGGGATCTCAACTCAGCACCATGATGTGATTTCAATTTTACTAACATCCACAGTGGTCCAGACACCCCCAACCAAAGACTGGGAGAGGGATGGGTTGGAAGAACATAAAATTTTACCAGTTAACATTATTGTAGATGCTTCTGATCAATATTAGGCCTTTACAGTAAATGTTTTGTTCCCTGTTATAGGTTAGGTTCTCCAGGAAGCAGACCCTGAAATAGAGATTAGCATGCAGGAATTTTATCAAGGAGTATCTTTGGGATCAACATGTGGTAGGAGGGGCAGGAAGCAGTGTTGAGCAGTGGAAGAGGTGGTTAGGTTGAGTTTGACAACAGGCAGTGAGGAAGCTGGAATGACTCTTCAGAGTTGTCCAGAGTTTGGGCAAGAGGCACCCTGTTGATCAATTATTGGATGTGGCTACTCCAGGCAGGGGCGTAACTTGGGTTAAGTGGCTCTCTTTAGCTGAATCAATACCTGGAGGGGCTGACTGGGGAAAAAAGTAATTCTGTATTGAAGAGAGATCTGGGCAGTGTACTACAGTGTCCACCACAGCCATTTCTGGTTTCAAGCAGTCCCTTTTTGAAAAAATATTCAATCAACTTTAACTATTATTACTATCTATCATTGACAAGCTTCATAAAACAGGTTGCATGGGGCTAGGCTTGATGGGAAGTCTCTCTCCATTTTCCCCTCCTTGATTTAGATTCTTCTACTTAAATTTGCTGCAAAGATGGTAAATATGGGTGGGGGTGGGGAAATCTACCTAGATGATTAACACTACCACCTAAAACAGTTACTGTCGAGTCAGTTCCAACTCATGGCGATTCCATATGTGCCAGAGTAGAACTGTACTCCATAGGGTTTTCAGTAGCTGATTTTTTGGGAGAAGTAGATTGCCAGGCCTTTCTTCTGAGGCACCTCTGGGTGGGCTTGAGCCTCAACCTTTCTGTTAGTAGCTTAGTACGTTAACTGTTTGCACAATCCAGGGACTCCTAACACCACATGGTGATGGTACATTTTCTGGTCCCTTTCTTCTTTCTCCAACACTGTTTCACCTTTAGACCCTGGATGGCTATAGCCTACCAAGGTGTAGCCAGCATATAAATGCTGGTCCCTTCATAGGGCTAATTCACTACTTTTTTAGTGTTTTCAGCAGAGCCTCCCACTACCCAGTTCCCTGGTGGGGATGCTTCTGACAAGATTCCTACTATCATACTTACATAGTAGGGACTCCACCCAAAGCTTCTTGCTCCTGAGAGATCCTAGTTCTTGCAGGTGGCCCTCTTGAGGTGCTCATAAAGCAGATGAAATCCATCTAGCTTTTGGTAGCCCTTGACTGTGGGAAAATGCATACATCCTTGCGGGCAAGTGCTGGAAGGCATGCTGCCTCAGGCTTTCCCTCCCTCAGTGCTTCTCTCTCCTGCTTTTACTCAACGATTTTGGCATTATCATCAGGCCTGTCTGCTTGATCCTTGGCTCAGCAGCCTTTAGAAAAGAAAAATGTATCAGCCTGACTGGTTGGTTGGGTGGAAGTTAACAGGGTAGGCACTTTAAAGGCACAGAGGTGTAGAGAAAAGTTAAAAATCCATTTTTTTCCAAAAGGAGTTGCCCCTCCTCTCTTTTCTACTTTCCATTACTAAAAATAAAATGTGGGGAGGGAGGAATTGATGTACAGATTGTTCCAAAATGACTCCACTTTAAAAACCTCACAGTGGGTTATCTAGTATTCCAAGGAACCTCTCATTGAACTTGAATGTGGAACTGCATGTAGCCTCTTGGGCAATCCCTGAACCAGTTGGTAAACCTGAGGGAACAGGAAGACAATTTCAGTGGGTCCTCAGATCTCCAAGGAAACACTAGTGGCATAGTGGTTAAAAGCTATGGCTGCTAACCAAAAGGTCAGCAGTTTGAATCCAACAGGTGCTCCTTGGAAACCCTATGGGGCAGTTCTACTCTGTCCTATGAGCCAGAATCGACTGATGGCAACGGGTTTGTTTGTTTTTTCAGATCTCCATGTTGCAGATATATTTGGGATCATTTTCCTCTGCATCTCCTGCGTGCACTATCTGTCACTAGCGATAAGATGCAGGTCAAAACCCTAAACTTCTCTCAAAACTTGCCACGTTGCGTGAAGAGAATGGAGTAATCATCTAGAGCAGATTTTCAAAGGCTGCATGGGGTCCTTGTCTCCTTGGATCTACAGTTGTCCATTGTGAAGTTGGAGGACAAGTCTCAGAAGTGAAATCTTACCTGACACCATGGAGGAGAGATACCACGCAAGGAATGAAAAGGGTCGTACCACCTTCCTTTTCTTGTTTCTCCTCCTGGGCCTACCTGGGCTAATTTGAGAATGGAAGGATGATGGAATACAATGTGTGAGTGACACGCATGCTTCTATCTATCTTATGGGGAGTTGAGTAGTGGAAGAAAGCCAGAGGCCAGGTAATGGCATATAAAACCTCCTCTCACTTCTCTTGCCATACAGTTGGGATTGCGTTCAACCCAAACAGTGGATTAAATATTTGGAGGTGTTCAAGAGTAATCCCTTTGGAAAACCAAACTTCTATGCCTTAATTTAAGGTTATATCTAGGTGACAGCAATGTACTGAAGTAAAAGGAGTCTATCATTCAGATTAAAAAAAAATAAAACCCGAACCCATTGCCGTCCAGTCAATCCCACTCTTGACAACTCCACGAGGTACACAGTAGAACTGTTCCATAGGGTTTTCTTGGCTGTAATCCTGAAGGAAGCAGATCTCCAGGCCTTTCTTCTATGGCACCAGTGGGTAGGTTTCAACTGCCAACCTTTAGATTAGTAGTCAAGGGCAAACCGTTTGTGCCACCCAGGGACCATATCATTCAGATGTTGTTGTTGTTAGTAGCACTGAGTCGATTCTGACTCATGGCAACCCCATGTGTGCAGAGTAGACCTGCTCCATAGGGTTTTCATGGCTGTGACCTTTTGAAAGCATACCACCAGGTCCATCTTCCAAGGTGCCTCTGGGTGGGTTTGAACCACTGACAGTTTGGCTAGTAGTTGAGCATAATCATTTGCACCACTCAGGAACTTAGTCTCCACATAATTCCAAATATATATTTGCTTTCGATCCTAGAGCTCACATACTCAGGTGACAGGGGGGATCTTCATTTTCTCCATGCTTTTGGTGTCAGATACACATAGCTTTGGTGTCATGTACACACGGCAGTATGGTTGCATATGGTTTCATTGAGAATTTCATATTTATAGGGTGGATTACATGTGGTTTCATCGAGAACTTCACAGTTACAGGGTAGAACGACATCATTACATGAAATCTGGAAGGCTGGGATTGAGCATTGGGCTAATATTGGATGTGCCCCAGGGAGGTTTTGAGTTTCTGGAAGTGTGCACAAAGGTATTCATTATAACACAGTCTCGTTTGTAGCACAGACGGTTAATGTGGACCTGGAGGATAACGTTACAGGGAAGCTCTGTTTTTCAGGGAAATGTTTCCTTGCCACAGAATTGTGGCCACTCTCCACACTGACATTCATTATGCTACCAGCTGGTTGTCGTTATCATCACTAGCAGCCTGCAGGCAGGTCCACACAGGAGCGACTCTCTCCAGGGTGAGAGATAGAGACAGCTGCCACCGAAGCCAGATTCTTTCCTTGGTGTTGTTGCTCTGCAGAATCTTTCCTTTTGCCTGCCTTGCCTCTGGGCCCTCAACTATTTGGCTGACTGGCTGCTCATGGTTGCTTGATGCTTCACCAGCCTGTGCCTGCCTCTCCACATTCCTTCAAATCCTGACAGTGCAGTTTGCTAACAGGGCACCTGGATGTGTGTGGCCTTCCTCGTTCCCAGCACCTTGTGTCCTTTGCCTTTCTGACCCTCTTGTTGCTTGGAACTTGCATTTCCTCATGTGCCTTTTCCTCAAGCTGTACCTCAGTGCCCCTCAGCATCACACCTACTTGTTTCCATCCACAGCCTAGAACTTCTAGACTTTGAGCAACTAAAGCAATAATGGAAACAAAACCTTGTAACAGCTTTGAATTGCCCTGAGTTGGAGTTCAGTTGTCATGTACTTACCGTATCATTAGAATTTGTTCTCCTGGAAGAGAACTTTGTGAGATAGTGACTCAATTCATTATTTAGAATATCTTTCACTATCATCAAAGCATTAGTCACTTTAGAAATTTGCGTGAGTCAGAAGAGGGAAGATAGTAACTTAGGGGCTCCAATTAAATTCTTTAGAGAGTCATCTAGAATAAATGAATAGGGCTTTTTATCCTGACTAGACTTGTGAAATTGCAATTGTAATCTAATGAATCAGTTTTGGAGAGAATATAATTTGGACTTTGCAGAATCTCAGGATGTAAAGGTTGGTTGGGCATATGTCGACATATATAATAATATATTATATATATATATATATAATAATATATATTATATAAATATATAGTATTACATTATATGAGGTGGTACCTGATATCTGGCTGCCTTTCTCCTTTTGTAGTGTTGAGGTT